TTGAACAACCGGCAACGGCAGCGGTGGCGGCGGCAGCAACGGATTCGCCAGCGGCGGCATCGGAAAGCCGAATGGCACGTTCAACGGGTTCAGAGGCTGGCTCACGGGCGCTGGCTCTTGCTGCGGTCTTGCTCTGTGCTGCAGCGGCTGTTGCCGGGGGTTGAGCGGCTGCTGCTGTTGCTGCGGCGGGGCTCTCTGCTGCAGCGGCTCTTGCCGAGGGTTGAGCGGCTGGTTCACGCGTGCGGGCTCTTGCTGCGATGTTCTCTGCTGTTCTTGCTGCAGGGCTCTCTGCTGCAGTGGCTGTTGCTGCGGGTTGAGCGGCTGCTGCTCTTGCTGCGGCGGGGCTCTCTGCTGCAGCGGCTCTTGCCGAGGGTTGAGCGGCTGGTTCACGGGCGCGGGCTGCTCTTGCTGTGATGTTCTCTGCTGTAGCGGCTGTTGCTGACGGTTGGGCGGCGGCTGGCTCACGGGTGCCGGCTGCTCTTGCTGCGGCGGGGCTCCCTGCTGCAGCTGCTGTCGCAACGGCTGCCACCGCGGTGGCGGCATTTCTGGGACCTGCGGCGGTGCTGCTAGAAGCCCTTGCTGAGTTTGTGCAGCTGAAGTTTGTGGGGCTGGTTGCTGTGGCCGTGGCTGTGCCACTTGCTGCGGCCGCTGCGAGGAGGGGGGGGGAGTCTGAGGAGTTGGCGGGGCTTGTTGGACCTGCTGCTCTTGCTGTTGCTGTGCTGGCTCAGTTATTTGCATTGGCCGTCCTTTTGGCCGCGGAGGTAGCGGGGCTTGGGCTTGGTGCTGCAGCCCTGCTGGTGGTGGGCTTGCTGCGGCTGTGGCTGGACTTGCTCGTGGCATTGGCATTTCTGGTCTTGCTGAATGCCTTGGGTTTAAAAGGCTCTCAGGTGGTCCCCTTGGACTTGCTGCGGCTGTGGCTTGACTTGCTTGTGGCTTCAGTGCTTGTTCTGGCTGCGGCCTTGCTGGGGGGCCAAAGCTGACGGGTGGTCCAATTGGCGGGCGGGGCAATGCCGCAGGCTCTGGCTCAGGCAGAGGCTGGGAAGGCATGTTCACCTGTGCTGGCGAAGTTGATTGTGGCTCCACGGGCTCTGGTCTGTCCTCTGGTCTGCTTGGCTCTGCTTTACATCTGGCCACGAGTGGTCTGCTTGGCTCTGCTTTACATCTGGCCACGACCACTTGAGGAGCCTTGGCTTTGTTGAGGCCCTCTTGCCGTGCAGCTCGTTGCCTGCAATATAACTCTTGCGTGCCAACTACCTGAGTCCAGCCATGGATGTGACGACTGAATAATATAATACTAATCTTTAACAAGTAAGTCTTAAAGGTTAGTTTTATTATCAAGATGCCAAGTCACGCCAAGCCGTTTAAGCGTGTGTCGGAGTACGGCGCCTTCCCCCTTTTTTTTCTTCTTCTTCTTGCTCCGGTCCTCGTCGCCCCCCTGCTGCTCGGGCCAGTGCCGGTGTTCATTCCACTGCGTGGCACGGTCATTCCACTGCTGATCTTGCCACTGCTCATCTTGCCACTCCTTCCACCGCCACTGCTCATCTTGCCACTCATTCCACCGCCACTGGTCATCTTGCCACTCATTCCACCGCGTGGCACGGTCATTCCACTGCTGATCTTGCCACTGGTCAGCCATGGAAGCGGAGCTACTACGTGTCAGTGTCTACTCGTCTTCACTCACTCTACGTTGCAAAAAATATAATTAATTAATTATGCTTCTGAGTCTGACTGAGACAACCTGGTCAACTGCGGACGCACTGTTCTTGCTGACTCAATTCAACCTTGACGCAAATCTGACAAATGGTCAACAACCGCTGATTCGATTATTGATCTGATCAAAAGCCCACTGCAGAAAACCAAACCACCCGGGTCTCCTCCTGCTAGAAATCTGGCACGACGAGGCATGCGGAGGTCTGGCCTCGGTAGTCAATCTGGCAATTCACTTAGCATGAATTTTGTATATTATTATTAATTGATTTGAATTTTGTATATTGATTTATTGCCTTGGGCAAGTCTCTAACTAATGTCTAACATTTTTTACAAATGTTCTTGCCTGTTTGGAGATTGGTCCCGGTTTAGGGCTCGGAGTTGGGTCTTAGGTCAGGCAGAGTTCAAGTCTGATGGCTTCGGGCAGCTAGCAAATCGGAATCTTGCGCGGGAGAGGGTGGTTCGGTTTACACTTACGACTTACATTCAAAGCTTGCGGAAGCTCCGTATTTATCAGGGGGCGTTCGTCATCGGGTCTTACGCTCTCGGCAGGGTTAGGTCTTGCCCTGAAATTCCCACATCAAGAAACACATCACAGTCTTATTATACACTGTAACACTGACTACTCAACCCAACAACCATCACCCAATGGCCAATAATATCAGTTCAATACGACGTAACTAGTTGCTTGCTGGAAGAATAATCTTACTCTGCATTGACCCTCCTTTCTAATCTTGCGACCGCACGGTCGGCATCCTATGGACGTCTGTTGATCTTACACCTTACTCCCTACCGTCTCTCCATATAGTGACTTTGCTATCTCTTACTCGTACGACCTCACGGCCGGCGTCCAAATGGACGTCTTGCTAATTCTTGCCGTATTACGACTCGGCTTCCCAGCCTCTGTTCTTACGACCTCACGGCCGGCGTCCGATGGACGTCTTGCAAAAACGGGCGCGACCTCCCGGTCGACCCGGCTAGCGTAAATCTTACTCCTAGACCCGGGCACGACCTCACCGTCGGCCCATTAACTCCTAACCCGAATCCTTAGGCGCTCACCCGGAAACCCTCACTGAGTACTTTGCCCGGGCTCCCAGCATCACCATGATCTTGTCCAAGACGTGAATGCTCTCTTGCTTGGGCTGTGCTTGCGGCTTCAGGAGGGCTGCATGGTGGGGTTGGTTTCTTTTCTTTCGGGTCTTTGGGAATAGGGTTCTTACAATGGACTCGGGCCAAACCCTGCAAGACTCGCAAACCCCAAACCCTCCCAACTGCAGCGAAGCCGAAGTCTTGCCCTGACTGAACCTTCCCCCCTTCCCAAAACAAAAAGACACAGCAGCACGCATGATTATGATGACGATGATGATGGTGAGTATCTATATGTGTTCATATTTGTTGTTGCTATTAACTACATTCTTTATGCTGCTAACAGTTAGTAACAATGTAATTGCCTAAGCCTCTGGCTACACTATTGTCAAGTTTGTTCTTTCGACTCAACTGTTGTTTATTCTTTCTGGTTACAAGCAGAGGGATGATCGTGATATTATTGTACTCAATCTTGCTGAAACCTGCTGATTATAAAATAGTATTATTGTTCTTGTTAGCCAGTATTCAGTGTTACAACAGGCAAAACCACGAATAATCTAGCTAAGTCAAAGTGTGTATTTAATTATTCATCACTTATACGGCAGTATGTTTTGATTAGTGTTGACATCATATCATACACAAGTTCATAAAGCTGCTTAATTATTATACAGAACAACTCAAAGAAAATAGATGCATATCCAGGACACACATGTTCTGCGTCCAAATTAAGCAATCAGGAAACTGAGTTTTTTTATTATTGATACTATTAGAATATGAATTGGGATCGTACCGGTGATAGGCAGGCCCCTGTGAGAAATAGTGTGCTGATGATGAGTTATTTAAAAATTATTGTTTAAATTGTTACCACTAGCGATAGTATCACAAATTGAATAATAAGAAAGAGCTAACAAACAATATACTTTATTGACAATGGCCTGTATGGACATTGATTATCAATTAGTAACTCTGAACAGCACACTAACAAGTATTCTGCAAGTTAATTGTTCATGACAGGGTTCCCATATTATTCATCTATGACTAAGAATACAAGCCATTCAGGCTTCGAATGCAAATCTATTATACTATGAGCCATTCGTGATAAGGTTAAAGTATGCACATTATTGCTAATACTTTTTAGTTTATTAGTTTTTCACATTCATTGTAATTTCACCTTTGTATTTTTTGAATATAAATATTACTAAAATTATTAATATGAGACTTAATAAATATTTGTATTTAATACATCATTAATAATACTAGTATTAGTAATATTTAATTACTAATTTAATTAGTGTATTAGTATTATTAGTTCTGTTGTTACAAATTATATTGAAATATCAGTATCATAAGTACTAGTATTTAAATAATTTACATATAATAATAATTTATGTAACATTAGTATTAGGATTTTATTAGTATTAGTATTAAACAAATTAGTATTAGCATTAATATTAGTATTAGTAGTTATTATTAGTAGTATTATTATATTAGTATTAGTATTATTAGTATTATATTAGTATTCGTATTATTGATATTAATATTAATATTAATTATAATTAAATGAATATTAATTAGTTATTATTAGTATTATTAGTATTAATTAATATTAATAATATTAGAATTTAATAATAAAGGTTCGAAGGAGGGGAGGTGTTCGGCGAGGGTTCGGCGAACGCCGGCGGGGTTCGACGAACTTCGGGCGAAGGGTCGGGTCTTGCCTTTCCAAAGTGTTGCCCCCTTCTGTGTTGCCCTGACAAAAGGTATTAGGCTCTACACCCCAAATCCCCCAAACCCTTACGCCCTCAAGTTGAAGAATCGCGGTTAAAGGCTCGAAGGTCGGGTGGAAGAGGTTGGCATAGAGCTGCCACCACGACACTCGCCGTATGCGCACAATCCATGTCTTGGCAAGCAGCCTAAACACTTATCAAGATGCAAATGCACAACGCTACCCGATGCGCCAGCACAATACCACCCCAAAGCAACATGTCTAAGCCCCCAACCCAACGCCCTATTAAACCTCAACTGTTGGAACCCACCTTAGACCCTACACCCCTAACCCACTAAACCCCAAACCTTTCCCTAGAGCCCCAAAGCAGCTAAAACAAGGGCCCAAAACCTTTAAAAGCCTGTTATTCTACATACTTTTGGGGTCCAGGTCTCAATGCTCTAGATCTGCAAAAAAAACAAAAAAGCACTGAGAGGCCAGCCGCAAGCTGCTGTGCCTTGGCGGCAAGGAGTGAGGAGAGATAGGCTACCCTAAGGCCCCAAAGTAGTTATAACCTTATAGGATTCTATATATGAACCCCAAAAAGGAACTACTTTGGGGCCTGGGGCCTGTGGGTAATGATTAGAAAGCCCTTAGCGCTTAGAATGGGTTTTCAAACGCATACCGCGGCTCTGGGGCATATCAACTACATGAGTATGAGTATAACATGCGGGGTATAGAACTTTTACCAGGCTTGTATATCGAAAGGGGTCAATAACATTCCGGGTTTTAAAGCTTATAAGGGGGCTAAGCACCCCTTGCTCGGGTAGCCTTCATGTCCCGGGTGAGCCCTGAGAAAATGTCTCCCTCAACCCAGAACCCACGAAAGCTGTAGGGAATGTGTGCCACTTTGCATGGGCTCCCGTTTGGGCCTGTGGGGATTATAGTCTCCATTGTAGTTCCTCTTTTTGGTGTAACCAAATATATAACTCGGATCCTATAAGGTAACCCCCCAAGAGGAACTACAATGGAGACTACAGGTCTTGTCTCGCAGTTACCATGGGCCCCCTAAACCCTAAACCCTCTGGGTTTCGTGAGTTTTCGGGGTGTTGTAGTCTGGTTTAGGGTTTAGGGTTTAGGGTTTAGGGTTTAGGGTTTAGGGTTTAGGGTTTAGGGTTTAGGGTTTAGGGTGGAGACTACAGGTAGCACTCAGGGACTTCGATGGCTTCGGCTTTCGGAGTCCCTACTCGGCGAGTTAGAGTGAGGACTTGTTCTCACGGCGTGACGAGAACCTGTTGTCTCCATTGTAGTTCACTTTTTTGGTTTAACCAATTATATATTAAGGATCCTATAAGGTAACCCCAAAAAGGAACTACAATGGAGACTATAGGAAACTGCCATCAGGGCACTACATACAAACCCAGGCCCGCGCCCGCGTCACAACCTGTTCCTTCTCTTTGGCCGTGTACTTGCTGAGACATTTGATCTTGTCGTCCTGGCGTGTGTGTCGCTCAGTGTTGATGGCTGCGGCTTTCGGGCCAGGGTTCAGGGTTCAGGCTTTAATTACAGTAGAAGCCGAAAAGTTGGAATATCATTATCATAATCCCTTTAAGGTAAATTATAGGGGATCCTGCCATTATTCCATATTCCAACTTGCTGGAGTTCACTATAGGGGTTCAAGGACGACTTCTTAATTGAGAAACCGAAAGATTATCCATGTGCGGGGGTCAAAATAGCCCGTTTGCCTTTGGCGGACTTTGGGGCTGAGGGCTCAAGGCTTGCAGTGCTCAGGAGTGTACACATTAGGTACCCCTTACAGTAAGAGCCTGTAATAGGGCTACTACGGTTGATGGTATAAATCCTGCATTACCTTAAAGACCCAAAACTATGGGAATTATGGTATATTCCTTATTATGGGTCATGCAGGATTTATACCATCAACAGTATTGAGGTCCTAATATATCTATATTATGAATATATTACTGAGTGGGGGCCATACCCAATGTACACACGCAGACGGAATCCCGTGGAACCGTGTTCCGGTTGTAATCGCCCAGAGCCCGGCTACATAAGAAGCCCCAAGCCACTGGCAATCGGAAAAGATCGCCCTGAACCCTAATCCCTGTCCTAATTTAGATTACAGTCTACCTAACCCCCCCCCCACAAAAACCAAAAGCAAAACAACCCTCTATATACCCACCGTGCAAAGACTATAAGCCCTCAACCAAGGATGCGTTAAAAGGATTTTTGGGGGGGCTCGAACTGGTTACAAGGAGGAGTGCAAAGAGGCTCACAGAAACGTGAAACCTTATACAGACATGGGTTGGAAAGGTTAATCGGGCTTTGAGGTTTTAGTTCGGTTTTAGAGCTTAGGGTCTGGAGATTGTGGTTTAGGGCACGCATTACCTCACTTACGACGAAAAAAAAGTCTTCCATCGCTCCTGAAGTAGAGTTTAAGTTTAGGACTGGGTTTCTCCATGTGCAGGAACCTTCTCGCTCATCTGCGTAATTGAACCATGGTTCCCCAACAGAACGGCAGTTTTGTCTTTTCACTTGCTTCCCAAAAAAACCCAAACTAGTGATGGTAGGCGGATACTCTGGACTTTGAAATAAGCAGGGAGAGAATAGCATAGGCTTTTATTTCATAATGGTTCCTTTAAGGAACAGGTACCAAAAAAAGTTACATAAGGGAGTTTCCGAAAATAGGGGACCCTAATTGGGTACCCTAAATAGTATATAGGATCCTTCGTATAAGGACCCCCAAATAAGGTACCCTAATTTGGGATACTCTGTATGGTACTGTACTCCAAACCCAGGTACTACTAGGACCTAGGAAGGTCCTCGACCCACTCTCCATCCGTCGTGTCCCAAACCTCAAGGGGCTGGACTATCAAAGCCCGAAATGCGGAGGCACCGCTGAGTTTCGAGCCTGGCTCAAATCAAAGCGCCTTGAAGCCTCCACCCCAAACCCTTAACCACCCTGAACCCCCTAAAAACAGCAGAGAATTCTCCAAATCCTAGGCCCGAAACCCTGAAACCCAAGCCCCAGATCCTTAGCAACCATGCCCTGCTCCGCAAGAGCTTAACCCAAAAAGCATCCAACTGTTTGTCATGATTGTTGTAATAGCAGCTCATAATAACAATAATAATAAGAAGAATGAGGAACCTATGGTGCCTTCTGGGCCGTTCCCAGTTTAGGATGCAAGGGGAAGGGTCCTGAACCGGGCTTTTATGGGTTCCAGTTCCATGAGGAATCTAGACGGGAACTAATACGGATTCTTGCAGGGTGTTGGGGCGCAAAAGGATTTGGGGTTCATGCGAGTGGGGATGTTTGGGGTTTCAGGGTTTAGGGTTTAAGGGTCTAGGGTTTTGGGGTTTAGGGTTTAGGGTTTAGGGGTTTCAGGGTTTAAGGTTTAAGGGTCTGGGCTGCAAACGTCTGGGGCTTTACCGGGTTTCAGACCGAGGCGAGTGCTGCTAGGCTTGTACCCAGACCTTCCAAAATGCCTTACTTAAGGAATATACCTTAAATTATAATAGGATCCCTAATATGAATTAAGGTATACTCCTTAATTAAGGGATTTTGGAAGGTCTGGGTAGTTCGAGGCTCCAGAAGCTTAGCTGTGATGAGATATGCATGCACTGTAATCCCCCAGGCCTCCCCCAAAGTTGCTTTAATCGTGAAACCAGACCCATCCGCACTCAAACCCGAATTGCAGATCTCAGTGCCCGCAGAATCCATGAGTTCACCGAATTTCCAGACTGCATGCCCGACATCCCCAAAACAACAAATCGGGGAGAGGAAGGCCCATATACCTTGCCCTGGGCACAGATCCCGAAGGTATGAGGCTCTGCCCCCAAAAAGCCAAAGCCTAAACCTGAACCCCAAATCTCCTGGGTGCGAAACCATGAAGTGCGTGTTGAGTCGGTCGGGAGAAATCGCATTGTCCTTGGCCTTGGACCGAACGAGGATGGGCTTCAAGCTGAGTTCAGCTTTCAGGATTTTAAGAAATCAGGCTTCAACATTAAGATTGCTTCTTTCGTTTGTCTTTGAGGCTTGGCAAGTTGAAGCTTCCGGGCAGAGAGTGCGGTCGTGTCTTGGTGAGGCGTGCCCTTCAACAGTCGGGCCCAACAAAATGTCAAGCTTGCCAATGCAAGCCACTTGCTGTGCAACTTTCTATACATGGGAGCTTCCGAAAAAAGGGGATCCTAACATAGTACCCTAAATGGTACGATCCTTATTATACGGACCCCAAAACAAGGTACCCCTGATTTTCGGAAACTCACACATCATCGTCCTGGTTTCACGCGGCCAGAAACCATGAGCTGTAAGCGGGAGTTACGATCTGGGGCACCAGGGAGGCGGGTGGCTGTCAAAATTATGGTCCCTTCTTGGGTACCCTAAAGGTTGGGTGCCGTATTGTAATTAGGACCCAAAAAAGGGCCTAATATTGGCAACCACCCAGGCGTAAGCCAGGCTTCTGAAACAACAGGGGCGCAGGCGTAGCAAAAGACGTGCATCTTGTCATCCGTCTTCTCGCTTGCAAGACCATACCTGAGCGCAGCGCTTGTTTAAGGTCTTATAAGGCTTTTCAGGTATTCTAAGATCTGACTACAGTATGATTTTCCGGTTGGTGAGGGCCGAAGGGCTGGGGAAGTAAGTGTTGGTGGGCTTGCGATATCTGTTTAAGAGCGCCCCTTGAAGACACGATTAACGCAGAGGCCTGATTTACAAACCCATTCCATTTTGCGGTTTGGGGGTTCATAGGTTGAAGCACTCGACGCTTTCGCAACTTTAAATGAGCTAGGGGCTTTCAATCGCATCCCACTTCGAGATCCTTAGGGGTTTATGGCTGGGTTAACTTCAGGTTTAGGGGTCTAGGGTTTAGAGGCTTTCGAAGGTAGGTGGGTTGATGTAGAGTAGAAGCTCGAGGGTATGCAGAAAATCCAGACAACACCAATGCAGATCCGCAACAATGATACCTTTAATACAAGGACCCAAAAAAATCAGTGAGCCGGTTTTAAGGGTTTAGTTGGTGTCGCCACGATGGGGCTTGTCGTGGGAGATATAGTGTTCGGTTAGGGGATAGGATGTGGATCTTCGGAACGTCAAAGTTAGGGGCTAGGTATTTGCGTATCTGCACAGGGCTCTCAGGCAGGGTTCTCTGAGGCCTGTGAAACAAGTCTCTACACAGGAGCTGCTGCGGGTGTTATACCCGGTCCTAACCGGGTTCCAGTTCCAGTAGCTAAGGTCCCTTGCCGGATCTCGAAAAAGAGTGCCTTACTCCCAAAGCCGTAACAGGCACTCAATGAAAACCATTGCATGTTTGCTTCAAGTCACCTAAACCCTAAACCGTCACCTAAGATTGCTTGGAATACGCCGGACACAGCTGCATCGTTCGGGTTTCGGAGCACATTCGGGATCGGAGCACACGGCTGCAGCTCGAGTTGCAGTAAAGACAACATATTCATTACCGACAAAAACTCCGCATCAAACGAAGCTAAAGCGATCTCATAAGCATTTTTGTAGAGGCTCTGGTAGTTACCCTCGCTGGCAGGCCCCCAAGACGCCTCCGCACGAAATGAGGGTGATATACAGTAGCGCATCATGATAAACAAAAATACCGTAATATGCTGTGATCTAATATAATGTACTATAATATGCGATGGTCTACTGAAAACATACCATATTTTATAGAATGAGCTAATCTAAGCCGTCAGCCATCCGTGTAGCGGCTATGAATGCTAATTCACTCTGCAACTCTGCCTCAAACACGAAACCCTCATGAATCCATGCTATCATGCCCTGGCTGCACACACACGCACACAGACACACAGACACACAGACACACAGACACACACATGTGAGTTTCACAACAGCTGGGACGCTAAAGTAAACCTCAAAGTAATTGGAAAACAAAGCCTATACCGTACACCCTATACCCCAACCCCACGGCATACTCCCCTGGACAAGCGGCGGAACAGGATCGCCACGGTATGGAGAGATGACCTGACGGGCCCAAAAGGGTTCGGCTTTCGGGCTAAGGGTCCAGGTTTAGTGCTGAGCGGGACTTAAGCCGTGAAGGTTGCAGTCACAACTATAGAGCAGGCCTTGGGGCTTACAGAAAGCTATGATCTGTCCACGACTCTTCAGACCTGTAGGGCCGCACTGGGTGAGCATGTCATGTATGTATGGGCACCGACAATGCTTTAGGCTCTAGGGGTTTATCATCGGCGAGGGTATAGGGATTTCACGATTTAGCCTAAAGGTTCATAAGATGAGCTTCAAGTTGGAAGTCTGTTTGCTTCGTAGAAGGCATCTCGTGAACGCAGCTTGTGCATGCCGACCCTTCCTTTTGCTTTGTAGGAGGCGGGTTTGAAGCTTAATAATACTCTGAGTCTGCAAAACCCCCAAATTCCCAGACGCTACAGCCGAAGGCCCTACAACCAAAACCCTGAAGCTCCACTCAAGAATCAGCGCCCCCAGATGCTCCTCAACCTCCTACCCCCCCACACGCCTCAGTGTTGAGGGTTCTAGGGCTTACAGCTTTCGGTAGTAACCCAACAGTCGAAATCCAAAACCCTACCCCCGTAGACAGCAAAAACCTTTTCTATACTGAACTTAGAACCCTAGCAAAAATTAGAATTTTAGCTGTTTCTTAGGGAGTATAATAACCAAAATCAAAATTGATTTCTAAGTAATTACCCGTAAATTTTTTAAACTGTATACAACTCGAATAAGACCACCATGCGAGGTGGATGGATCGGAGCAACCGGCAACAGATCCCCCATCACTGGAACTCAGCCCTATAAGCCCGATAAGCCTCCCTAAGCCCTAAACCCTACACCCAAAAGAACCCTGAAGCTCTAAACACTATAAACCCTGAACCCTTAACTGCCAAACACCAAGCCCCCACCAACAAGAAGACAAACTAAATCCTACTTCAGAGGCCCAAGCATGCCTCAGCCCTATAGGATGCGAAAACCCAAAGCCCTGAGAGCATCAGAGTTTCGGGTTTAGGACAGTTTAGGGTTTAGGGCTTATGGTTATATAAGGGTTTAGGGTTTATGGCAATGTGGGCACCAAGTTATTGGCGTACAAGCCATGCACAACTACAGCTATATACACTCAAACAACCCCCTTCAAAGTCTCAAGCCAGAAGCTTAAACCCTAAACCCTGAACCCTACACCTTGAATCCTAAGCCACTCAACCCTGAGCCTTGAACCCTGAAAAGCCCAGTACCCCAGAGATTGGGAGGTCGACCCATCGCGCAAAGCCATCCCAGTAGAGGTGGACCTCGGGCGTTGGGTTTTCTTGGGGGGTTGAAGGGGTTTAGGATTTGGGCTTCATGGTTTTGGGTAAACACCACCCAAAGCCCCAAAATGTCAGATTCACCTTGTGGGAGTTTCCGAAAATGGGGGACCCTCATATAGCACCCTAAAGTGTAGGATCCTTATTACAAGGCCACCCCGAATGTTCGGAAACTCCCTTGTCTCCAAGAAGCAGAAGCCGCCCCCTAGGAGCCCCTGGGCTTCCACTTCCTGAGCCCTTTCCGAGACTTCAAAGACCCTGGGATAAAAGCCCCCAGGAGGGCCATGCGAACCCCTAAACCCTAAACCCTGAACCCAGCCTGAACTCTAAACCCTCAACCCTAAACCCCAAACCCTCAACCCTAAACCCCAAACCCTCGACCCTAAACCGTGTCAATCTCAGCGACCCTATGGGTTCAGAACAAGATCCTTAGTGCAAGGGCCCGCTCCCGACAACTAAATGGATCCGGGAGTTCAGGAACCCCACCTTGCAGTGCTAAACCCTAAACTCTGTGCCCTAGGAGCCCCCAGTCTATACTCTTCCCCGCCCGCTGCTGGCAAGTTGGTTAGTCGGTTGGTTGGTTGGTTCAAAGACACAGGTGTGTCATCCCTGCGCAGAGAGATGAGGGGGAAGGAGGAGGGAGGAGCTTTGGGTGCTTGCAGCGACAGGTGCCCGGACCCCCAAAAAGCTGAAGCAACTACCTCGGCAGCGCTTAATGCCTCGGAGGGCCTCCTGTCTCAAGCACTCAAGTTTACCCTGAACTGCCGTGCTCCCTACTATTTGGCAGCCTTAGCAATCAAAACAAGGTTTTGGAGTTTGTTATACTAGTACTCTAGCAGATTTTACAAACCCTAGACCCTGAAATCCTAAAAGTCTCAAAAAACCGCTGGGCACCCCAGCCGGCATGAAAGGTATCTCTTGCTCCTCTCCCTCGGGCTTCTTATGCTTCTTCTTCTTGTGATGCTTCAGATCCTGCACGGCTTCGAGGGCTGCAATCTTGAGGCCTAAGTAATTCGGTTTTTGTGGTGTATGATAGTATAGCTATAGGAGGAATAGGGAGATCGCGACTTATTCGACCCCAAAAAAACGCTGCAAGGTGCAGACATTTCAGGCGCATGGCTGCGGAGGTTGGGATAGGGGAGCTGCGAAGGAAAACGGGTTCTTCTGGTTTCGCTTGCCAGCAAACTCCTCTTGACCGTCTTGTAGTTACGAAATCAGAATTACAATATGGGTCTTGGGGTATAGTATAGTATAGTTACTATACACATCTTAGCCGGGATTCTAGTCTTGATTCTTGAAGATTCAAACCCCTCCAGTACCGATGGCAAGGACTTGAAACAACTCGGATGCGTAGGTTTACTGTTCAGCTCAGGGAGCTCTTGCGCTACAGGGTTGGTAGCCTTGCCATGTTTGGTTCTCATGCAACAAGTCTTCCATGCTGTCCTTGTTTTGTGAGATGCAACCTAACTCCCAACTCTACACCCTGAACTCCGAAACTCTAAACCGACAGAACACTGAATTCAGCCAAGCCCTGTCGTTGACCGTGTATCCTACGGTTCTGGACAAATAAAGCCTGAAGAACAGCTCCCGGCTCCAGGCTTCTGCCAGTCCCACCCCGTGAAGCCAAAGTGACGACCGAAGCCCAAGCCCCACAACTTAAGCCCGTCCAAACAGAAGATCGATTTCTCAAAACCTGCTCCGATGACCCCAAACCCGAACATATCATATTATCATATCGGTCCTTGGATTTTGTTTGCAGGTGGGGGGGGGGGGGGGTAGGCTTCAAGAGCTTAGGCATTCAGGCCTGAAGCCCGAAGTCTGGAAACTCCCGAAGACTCGGTGAATGCTCGTGGCGTCCTTCCACTTGCGGAGAATCTGTTCGTCTTGCGTTCCTTCCATGGCCTTGCGAGCCAGAGCATTGCACCAGGATGCCCAGGATGTTGATGGCTTAAGGCTACATGTGGGATTTAGGACAGGCATATAAATACAAGGAAAGATTGTCAAGGCTCCCGCATAGCTGTAAGACGTACTTAGAGCACTCAACCCGGCCGGAATCAGTCCTGCCGTTGCATAATCAGACTCCCCGACTCCTAGTTAGACCGTGACCTTGAACCGTAAGCGGTTTGAGGTTTACCTGCAGTCTCCATTGTAGTTCCTTTTTTTGTTTTAACCAAATATGTAACTCGGGTCCTATAAGGTCCCAAGAAGGAACTACAATCGAGACTACAGGTCGAGTTTAGATCCGAAGCTAAAACCGCAAACCTCCTAAACCCTTGGCTCCAGCTCTCGTCCATCCTAGCTTGGGAATGACTCATGCGACTATAGGTCCTGGCTTACGAGCGGTTCAGGGATTATTCGACAGCCTCCGTAGTTCAGGGTTATACCAGGGTCCCACAAGGCATTTTCCGAGAATACGGGACCCTGATCAGTAGGTCAAGGTAGCCCTAAACCCTAAACCCTAAACCCCTAAACCCTAAGCCTATGGTAGAACCAGAAAGGATGTTTGCTTGACTTGAGGTCCGATCATCTAGTAACGTTTGGATCATGCCAAAAAAGAACAGGCAGTACGTGATAGCTATTGAAGGCCACATTCCCAAAGGGTCCAAGTATCATTCTGGTATATACTTGTAGGGCATTTGGGGGTCTAAGTATATACCATGATGATACTTGGACCCTTTGGGATTAGGTGTGCTTGTGGCTTGAGAGGTTCGGTATTCTGCAGGGATTTCCGGAGGTTTTGGCTAGGAGATTCAAGATGCAAATGAAATGCCGGGGCATAATACTTGCAGACTTGCAGTAATTGCTCAATGGACGGTCCCAGCACATCTTGTCCTTTGGCTACACGACTGTGCGGCAAGCAGGACGGCAAAAGCCGGTAAAAGAGTCTGAGTCCAAAATGGGTCCCACCCCGACCAAAGTGCAGTTCGCCTGTCAATTGCCATGGGACAGATCTCCCTTTGCCGGGACTGCGCGAATGCCACAGTTGCTGAAATGAAAAACCTCCTTGCAAAACTCGAAAGCCACCGAAGCCTCGACCCCAAGCCCTACTGAGCCCTACTGTAGGGCCCCAAAAAAGCACATAAGCAAAAATTAGGATAGGGATGTCCCATATAAGCCCCCTTTAACAGGAAGCCCATAAGGTAGGGATATCCCCACAAAATGCTTATGCTTATGTGCCTTTTTGGGCCCCTATACTATAGCCTTCGAGCCCCTTGTACCCTGCAGTCAGCTGCCTCGTAGTACTTCTTGGCATCCGGCCCCTTTGCCTCACCCAACGATTTGTAGCGGATATGCAAGAGTTCTGCAGAAGGGATCCATAAGAATCTACAGGGCTTTAGATCAAACTCCTCCCAGCGTTCGGGCCCTTGGGCTGCAGTTCAAGGTTTGATAGGAACATGCCCCGTCAGTCTATCTGTTCTTGTAGAGAGTCATCTTCATGAATCCATCGTTCCAGCTGTCTCTGGAACTCCTTGCACATGCTTGTCGATGATCATAACTGCTTGGTATCTTCGTCATGTTCTCTGCTTTCAATGAAGAAAAGAATCCAAGTACAATGACGAAGAACGACAATGCATCGGAACACCATCCGGTGCTGTGTAAATGCATATGAGTGCAGGTGTGTATGTACATAGGTATGTAAGTGCTGCATGTGTACAAATGTATGTGTACAGACATAAACATAAATAAATAGATAAACAAATAAATATATACATGTGTATATATATATATATATATATATATAATATTTATATGTGCTAACCCCCCCCAATTGAACCGCACGACCTCTGAGTATGTGTCACCGCTTTTCCGAGCCGACAGTAGGAGAAGTTCTGTCTGTGCAACATCAGCCATCTAAAGGGAACTCCAGAAAGTTGGAATATGGTTTCAGGGTAGGATACCTTATACTTTTCCATGAAGGGTTTAGGATAATCATACTCCAACTTTCTGGCTTTTACTTTACCTTCGTAGACGCTGACATAAGAAATATTAGTGTTCCTCTGACGGTTGTTCACCTTCGCCTGTGATCTTGTGTACAGTACGAATACGAACACCAAGATTTCGATTCTTACGAACAAATATATTCATATTGATATTGGTTTGAACCTTGATACTAGTATGAAAACTATTCTTTCTACTACTACTGACATTGGCATGTGTCTGTTTCCTCATACTCTTGCGGGTACTAGTACTCGTAGCAATACTAATGGTGAAATTGACGATCATACTAATTCTACTATCACTAACATTCATAGTGATACTAATCCTACTATGAATACTACTGTTCCCACGAAATCGCATAATCATGTTCATGTTAAGAGTAATACTATTACGAATATTAATACTGATATGAGTATGAATACTCACACTCCGATATTCATAGCAATATTAACACTGATACGAAGACTAATGTCCCTACGAATACTCATGGTAATGATCATATGACTTGGAATAAGAAAGTTGATACTAATACCAGTATACACACTGATGCCAGTAGGTATTACTACTAATACTGTAACATTAATTAATATTTGTATGCACATACGTATTAACCAGATACTAATCCTCACAGTCTTACTGTTGTATCTCTACTAACTGGTATTCATACTACAGTAATATGAACACGAACACATTGGCTAATACGGATATGCATAATTCTAGTAATACTAGTGCTACTCCCAATATAGATGATATCTACATATGCATTTTTGAAGATTAATATGCGAATGCTAGTATTAATACCAAATCTAACATTGACATCGACACTGACACCACCGCTAACACTAACAGTTTGTTTGTGTTTTGCTATCGACCCTTGCAGACACAGGTTTGAATCTGCTCCGTTTCAATACTGTTATGATTCACGCACTCTCAGTATATGTAGTGTCTCTTAATCTAGTTTGCTATATATAGCTTTATAACCCCTGGCTCCACACATATGCATAGCTATGCGTGATAAGAGACATATAACTAGCTGACAAATGTCAGTACAACATATAGGACTGAAATAAAGAGAAGAGGGGTGGTACCATATATACATCCGTTCATGCATTCATTCATTCGCACATATATATATATATACATACATGTAACAATGTACATGCACATACAAACGCTGACAGACAGGAAAATATGCATCGATGAATTGACAGATAGGCAGACAAATAGATAGACGGATTGATGGACAATGAAATATGGACAGCTTGGCAGACACATCTGCATTGGCTTTCTCAATCCAGAAATCTCTCCGAAAGGCCAGCGTCCTCTGTGCTGCGCCTTTTGGGCGCCCAAGTTATGCTGGAGCCCACATGATTACCAAAACTAAGGTCAATACTGTTCCGAAAGGGTTCCTGCACATATTCATGTCATCCTACAATATGCGCCCCTAAACCAAAAAATGCCCTGAACCCTTAAACCACGATCGTAAGGCCCCAATGCTAGGCTTGCAGGCCTTGCTATGCGCAGCCAAGGCAGCTTGGCACATCTCGGGAAAACCAGTTCTGAGAGTCCTCACCGAAAACCAAGAACCAGTATCTAGAAATTTAGAATTTAGACACCCTGAGCCCAAAAACCCTAACAACCTAGCCCCTAAACACAACAACCCTAAAAGCCCTGAAGCTCAAACCTTCCATCAAAAGTGCAGGTCTACTATGACTTGAGAACTCCAGGTGATTCCGGTGAGAATGCTCTGTTCGACTCCGTACCCCACCTGTGCTCCCACCCTCGGCCGGCCTGGAATGCCAAGCGCGCATTGACGAGGATGGGCAGGCCCTGCACGGATTCACCATGAGACCCAAGGGCTCTGATATTTGAGTTGGGAAGATAAGAGTGGGCTTGAGGCCTCAGCAATAGCCTCATTTAGCTGGCTGTAATTAACCCTAAGGACTGGTGTATGCATGCAGGAAGGTATGTAGATATGTACGCGCGTAGGTGGATAGGTATGCATGCATCCATGGATGTATAATGCATGTACAAGGCTGTTCTCGCAATTACAACTGTATGTTGATGCACATGTACGACCAACAGTAATTATGCAGGCACATAGAACACGATACAGCCTGTTGGTACCGGTCTAAGGAACACAAATATTTCTATGTATAAGCTCGAGTAACTGTTACACCTAGTTGAGTGGTCTAGCTGGATGCTGTGGCACGCTGTAGCTAGTACTGCTACGGATGGACATAGGGCATAGCAGCTGCTGAAATAAGTGTACTACACTTCAGGGTTGCTTCTTGCGCACAGCTTAAACCGACGTGAATCTAGATACTTTGCATCACCGCGTCTTTGAATCGAGATTCGGCGGCAATTCTACAAGCCTGCAACTGAGCTCTAAACCGCAGCGTGGCAACGAATCTCATGTATCACTAAGGTGGAAATGCAAGCGAGGAGTGATGTCGAATGGGGAAGAATTAGACCTTGCAGTACGCCAACAAGACAGCTTCAGCAGAGCAAACCGAAACCATGAAACGTACGATTCATGTTAACATTTGCGTGTGGTTGTACTATGATCCGAACGTGCACTACATGTATGTCATGCTGATAAGTGAAAACATCCGTAGATCGTAACAGACAAGCCAGTCTAAACCTAGATCCTCGTTTACTCGTGCATTGATTAGCCTTGACATGAAAGCATCTGGTGCAGTGCACACTGAACCGGCAATCTGCAACTCCAACCACCCTTCAGCGTCTTAGGTCATGGCAGTCTCTTTGGAATTCTCGCGGAGGAAAGCTGCTTGAGCACCGTTCTTCAGTGTGACCGTAATCTGGGCCGGGCATTTGGATAGGAGGGCTAATTCAACACTCAATGCTACAGTCAGCATGAGTCTGTCAACTCCTTCATAGGACTTACAATGGAGGGCTTCTCTGGCTATCGGGTCTCGGTTTCGGGCTCGGGTTCGTGGGCATCGCTATGTTTCCGGAATCTTGCTATTCAAACTAGAGTAACTAAAGATCGATCTTCCCAGTCGTTACCACAAGCCCTGTATGCCCTAAAGTCAGCCGGGCTGCATTTTCTCTTGCTTTTCGTGGCAGTAGGCATAAAGCTGGTCGACGGTCAGGGAAACTCAAGTTCAAGATTTAGCTTGCAATCTTTCGAAAACCATAAAGACTAAATCGACAAATCCGAAACCTACTAGTATGGAGAAAACGCAAACCGCGTCAGGAAAATCTGTGGCTTTGGTACAGGTCTACAAGGCTGTCTCCTAAACCCCGAAACCCCTAAGCCCTAAACCCCTAAACAATAAACCCTAAACCCCTAACCTCTAAACCCCTAAACCCCTGAACAACTGAACCCGAAGCTAAGGTGTTGAATTCTCAGACTTGGGTCCGGTAGTCAACGATGCCGGCGCTCAAAGCTCAATTGGGGACTGCAAGGTTTCGGGCCAAAGTTAGGGTTTAGGCTTAAGGTCTACAGTTTAGGGTTCTGGTGTTTACTCACAATCGGCTGAACTTTCAAGCAGGAGATAAGATGAAGGACTGACAGTGGAACTGAACAAGTCGTAGATATTTGCCTTGAAAGCGCAGCTTTTGCAAAGAAGGCCCTGTTTCTCAAGCCCTAGTGTTGACAAGTACTTTTGACTTTTGACTTGCAGGTCATCCGAGGCACATCAGTCCAGCACAAACCCTGGCGGCTGATTGCAATGCTGGTCTGCAGGGAAGTGTGCGGCATAGCATATCCACTTTGCACGAAAAGTCAGGCACACCATGTTGGGTGGATCAACTGGTGATGACATACAGCCATACGAACTTGACATGTGTTTTTTGGAGGCCCCCCCCGCCGGCAAACCACAATGCCTCCAATACAAAAATCCCAACAAAAGACGGGACCCCAAACTCCTGCTTACTTCAAGGTTCAGGGACGTAGCAAGCAGGTCAGAATTGAGGGTATGCGTACCTTAGCTGCAGCCTACTTGCGAAGTCCCTGGAAGCTTGCCTCGAAAAAGTAGTCCTAAAATTCGGACCCCAAGCCCTCAGAATGTCGCTGATCTCCTAAACCGAATCTCAACTCTAAGCCACATATCATCAACTTTTGGTTTACAGTTTGAGGATGCGCGGTATTTTTTTACGCTTATGGATTTCCGGCCTCGTCCACATTCGGCGAAGAAGCCACGACAATTCCGCAGACGTGAGGTGAGATTGCATCCGGTCGCCTCGGTGAAGCGCCGGGGCTGTTGGGCTTGCCAAGTTTAGGGTTTAGGAAGTTTAGGGTTTAGGGTTTAAGGTTTAGGGTTTAGGGTTTAGGGCAAATTCGAAACGCCCAAACCCCAAAACTCTGACTACTCTGCAGCCACAAACCGCTAAGCAGCAGAAGCGCGAACTCAAGTTGCCAAAAGCCCAAACCCCTGAATGCCCATTCTAAAGTCTTTACTTACGAGCGGCTTCCCTAATTCAAGCTCCAAACACCGTAAGAAGCCCCTAAGCCCAAGAAGCCTTCAGAGCTTGGAGCCTGCTTCTTCCGACGGATCGCTGGTGTGGGTATGTATACTATCGGGGACATAATCTTAACTAGGGCTGCGTACCCTAGCCCAGAAAGGTTAACCGTTTAACCTTTAGAATGAACGTAGGACTGTCTAGCCCCAAAAGGTGAAATTCGCATAATGGAGCAGAGTCTGGGGTGAAGGGTTTACCAGCGATCTCCCTTGCACTATAAGTGCTTAGGGGCAGTATCGCGGCTATCCTAACAATTACAAGGAAGGAAAGACAGACACTCCAGAGCCCCACCCCAAAATCTTGAGCACCTGCTATGCGCATCAAGCAGCAAGCCTAGACGTAATGTTGAAGTTCAAAAGGGTGATCACGAAACTATCTGTGAACTTATAAGAGAGCGCCACGGCATAAATTCGCTGTGCCCACCCGCAGCCACGGCTGAACTACGGATCTTTGAGCAGCAGTGTAATCCCATGATTCCCATGATCCTCAAAGTAGACCCGAAACACTACACCCTTATAGTACCCCTATAGACCCCTTAAACCCAACATTGTAAACCCATGTCACCAAGTCTGCTGAGAGAGCCACCAGACTTTGTTCGGCTTCAGATGGTCGGCCACGATCTGGCCGTTTTGGGTTTAGGGTTTAGGACGCTGATACGGTTCACGGTTCTGTTTAGGGTTTAGGTTCGGTTTAGTTTTGGTGATACCCTGAACTGCCCTAACCTACTTCTTTGTTGTAGGACCTGATATTCAATTAATATTTGGGACTCTACAGACAAAGCTTTGTGGTCGTTGAACGATAGGGTTGCTTGCTCGGGTGACTCAGGGTAGTCTTTATGGATGGGAGCTCTTGGGCGGCCAATGTCAGGCGTTCAGCTACTTTCTGGACCCCCAAACCCCCAAGCGGTCCTGAGTACTTATTTGGAGAATACTGAACCTGACCATCATCGTAACTCTAACGATAGAAACCATACTTGCTACTATGTAGGTACTTTGGATCCTTGGGGACCCGAAACCCAAGGCCCCAACACCCGAACCATCAACCAGAAATTGCAGCATCGGTGTCGGGCAAGAAGGACTAAAGAAGCAACGCAATCTCCTCCCTAAACCCTGTCCGTGGCTACTTAGTTGCTGAGTTCATAAGCCCCCCCAAAAGTGTACACTTTCAGTTTTACACTGGGTAATATTATCCCAAAAAGTGTAAAGTGTATCCGCTCAGCTACTACTTGGAGGGTCGGGGGACTTAGTAACTGGTTATTTTAGGGACTTATAAGTACCATAACCCCAATGAGGATCCCTTTTAGGGTACTTATAAGTCTACTTACCACCTACTTACTAAGTCCCCCGACCCTCCAAGCAAGGCTAAGAAGCGGACGTTAGGTTCCAGGGTCACCTTTGTCCCCCAAAAAGACGAAAGACTCGAAATCCCTAAACCACTGGAAACCCAGCTCTAACATCGACTATCCGAACTCCGCACTATTTTTTGGGGGGGAGAAGCCGCAGGCCCAACAAAAGGAACGAACCCGAAAATGAGGCCAAGAGCCGTGAAGCTTTAAGGCTTTAGGTCAAGGGGTTGAGGGCCTAGGGCGGAGGATTTCTCTGGGGTTTAGGATTTAGGGTTGTGCTTTTGAAAAGCTGTTCCTACACGTAAACCCCCAGGCCAAACCCGAACCTCAATGACGAATCCTTGCTAACCTCCGAAACCCTAAACCCCAAACCCCAAAACCCCTACACCTCAAACCCCTAAACCCCTAAACCCTAAACCCCTCAACGTCCTACCCACAGGCCTCATAGTAGTTCCTTTTTGGGGTTGCCTTATAGAGTTCAAAATATGAACCCCAAAACAGGCACTACTATGGGGCCTATGGTTTAGACCCCTAAACCCCTACATCCCTACACCCCTAAACGTCCGAAACACCTGAACCCCTAAAGCCCTAAACCCCTAAAGCCCTAAAGGTCCCTAAACCAAAGACTCCATAGACCCCCTACACCCCTATTTACCCTAAACCCCTAAACCCCTACACCCTAAAGCCCTAAAGGTCCCTAAACCAAAGACTCCATAGACCCCCTAAGCCCCTACACCCCTATTTACCCTAAACCCCTAAACCCCTACACCCTAAAGCCCTAAACCCCTCAAGTCCCTAAACCCCTAAGTCCCTAAACCCCTAAAGCCCTAAAGCCCTAAACCCCTAAAGTCCCTAAAGCCCTAAAGCCCTACACCCTAAAGCCCTAAAGTACTAAAGTCCCTAAAGCCCTAAGCCCCCCCTAAAGGCCCCTAAGCCAAAGACTCCGGGGCCCCTCGCCACGTAGTGCAAGATCGACTTCGAGGCCCGGGCTTGATCCTGCAGGGTTCTTAGGGTTTCATTAACGGGGGGGGGTTAGGGTTCCCTTTAAAGGGGGATCTATAAGGGATTCCCTTAAAGGGATCCATAGGGTCTAGGGGTTAGGGATTTAGGGTTTCATTAAGGGGGGGGCGGGGAGGGTTAGGGTTCCCTTTAGGGGGATCTATAAGGGATTCCCTTAGAGGGATCTATAGGGTCTAGGGGTGGGTAGGGTTCCCTTTAAAGGGATCTATATCAGGGTTCCTTTAAAGGGGTCTAGAGGGTCTAGGGGTTAGGGGTTTAGGGGTGTAGGGGTTTAGTGGTTTAGGCTTTAGGGTTCATATAGGGTTTAGGAGTTTAGGGTGAATGCATGCTCAGGTTGTATTTCGTATATATTGAGATTGGGGTTGTCGGAGAGAAGCTTTTCGCAGGATTTTACGAGTTCAGTGTGTAGCCTGATGTAAGAATAGAGACTAAGGAAGAGCACTACGTTACTACGGCGAAAAACAGACAACACAAGTAGTTCCTCACAGAGCGGCTCTCAACTCCAGTGTACTCACGATCCAAGCGTAAAAGGAGGGACCCTTAATAAGGACCCTAGGTATATACCCTTCATATAGCCATTATATATCCATTTTACAGCCCATTATATCCTAAACCCTAAAACCTCAATGTAGCCCCTTATAGTAGTCTTCATAGACCCCTTGAAAGGAATCCTCTTCCCTATGGGTAGGGGTTTCCATTAAGGGTCCCTCCTTTTCCCCTTTGACACGAGGCTGCGCATGGATTTGTTCGGTTGTTGACTAGAACTGGAAGGCGTGTTCCCTTCAAAGGGGACAAGGAGGGACCCTTAAGGGGGACCCCTACCCTATAATGGGCTATATAATGGATATATAGTAGCTATATTAAGGGTATATTCCTAGGGGTCCTTATTAAGGGTCCCTCCTTTTACCCTTGGGCCCTTGGATCCTTGGGCTAATGTAGGGACCTTGTCATAATTAGAATCGGGTTTTGGAGTATATGGCACTATAAAGGTATAAGGAACCCCCAAAACTGGTATAGGCAATTTTTCAGGACCCTATACTAAACCCTTATAATACCCCTTATACTAATCCGTATAGAACCCTTTAAAAGGAACCCTCAGGTAATTATTAAGGCTCCTGTACGAAATCCTCATAATGGCCCTTAATGTAGCCCGACAGGCCCCTTTGAAAGGAACCCTTTCAAGGAAACCCACAAAATACCACAGGTACTTATTTGCATGGTACCTTCTGAGAGGTCGGATCTCTGGTTGATGCTGGTGCGAAGTCCTACGTCCTAGGTCTGGCGTGATGCAAGGAAGCCGTCAGCCAAGAAACACTGACGGTTTAGGGTTTAGGGTTTTAGGGTTTAGGATTTAGGTGTGACAGGGTTTAGGGTTTAGGGTTTTAGGGTTTAGGATTTAGGTGTGACACCTGCTTGAACTTCTGCAGTTTGGTGATCAGCTTCCCATCAAAGTCGGCGGCCTGCGATTAGCGCCCCAAATCTGAGACCCTAAGCCTTCGGCATCGAAGGCTTACGGTCAACTATACCCCCCCTTTAGAACCATAAGAACTGTAGTATGTTTAATACTTTCTTGGGATTTATATGAACAAAAATAAAAAAATAATTCTTAAGGAGACTATATAGTCTGGGATCACAGACTTAGTGCTCACCGCACCTACCGAGCCAGCGCCAGGGGCTTGGCTTCCGCATAACAAGGAACCCCCTAAACAGTGGTGAATTTCAGGACCTAATAGTTTTTTTGATGTGAGAAAGTGGCTTCCGCATGCGAAGGAACCCTGAAGAATAGTAAATATCAGGAGCTGTTACTGTTTTTGACGTGAGAAAGCCTGTGACGTTATTGCATAGGGTTGCCATGGAATGAAGGGACTGTGGTGCACCCGACAACCCTCCAACCCTGGCACGTCGAGCCCTTCGCACCGACGCAATCGTGGAGACTGACGAAATAATGTCGGATTGTCTCAGTCGATGTGCTTCTGGGGCAAATACAGGAGCCTCCAGAAATCGAAACAGGCTCCTCAGGGATCATACCTTATATAGGCCTCTACATTGCGCCCCAAACCCTAAACACGTGAGGCCCCGATATCATGCAAAAGTCACGAGCATTGGGCTTGAGAGTTCACGCTGTACCGAAGAGCCTACTTTGGAAGAGCGGCGGTCCTCACCGATGTAGGGCCTGGGGTTTTTCAGGGCATGGGGTTTAAAATTCAGACACGATCAATAGACCGTCCCTGTACCCCTAGTAAGGAAGTGTCTGCACGTAGAGGATTGCACCTGGCCAGAACGAAGACTTTAAAGTAGCAACGAACTTAAGCTTTCCGCACCCAATGCTACAGCCCCACGCATCTCTACACCTTGCGGCAGCTACCCTACAGTTAAACTTCTTGCGTTCGAACATGAAAATGTCGAACCCCGAAGCCGAATTGAAACCCCTAATCGCCCAACCCCAGACCAGTTCCTGAATCTGAGACTAAAACTGCACGGCGGTGCGCCTCGTCCGTCACTTTTGTTAAGCCTCTGTATCTGTCCCCGACACTGGCGCGAAGATCGGGCTTAATGGTGTTTGAGGTCCAATGTTTATGGAGGTCTTCGGAAGTACGCGGGAAGGACGGATGTGTCGATGTCTTCGATTTGAACTGCAGCCCCAGAGTATGATTGGACTTCTAGGGCTTCACTCCAAGCGCGGAATTCTGAGGAGAATGCCGCGCTGCGACCATGTAGACGTAATGACTAAGTAGTGCTTGCGTGCGTCCGTCGGAGCTTTCGCTCTCGGTAGGTTCAGGGAGCAGCATTGGGTTTCAGGCTGTGGCTTCAGAAAGCCTTTTGTAGACACAGAATGAAAAGTGATTCAAATACGAATCACGGCTGTTCAATGGGAAGCCCCCAGTCTCATCACCGATGTAATTGCTGCCGAATTTCGACATCTCTCCGGCTATGAAGAAGATGAAGCATATGTAGCTAAGCGATGACGGTGACGATGGAGGTGATGATGATGATGAGGATGAAGACAACGACGATATCACGGTAAGAACTGTGAGGATGACACTGAATACCGCGATAATGAACACTAACTTTGTATATATAACTTTGCTGGCATGATGGCGTTGAGAACAGAACTGCTCAGGATGAGAATTCGGTAGCATTCGTCACGTTCACCTGTAGTGACAACCATAGGCCTCGTCACACCACACATCCAATGGCTCAGTACCTAAATGGTGGATCAGGGATGCAAAAACCCACCACCTTCAGCAACGAAACTCCCTAACATCCCTAACACCCAAAACAACCCCAAGCTCCACGCAGAATCCTGAAACCCTCGCCAACAGCTCTCATACACAGCTCAACTCACTTCACTAGAATTTTTAACCTGCCAACCCTGGCCACTAAGCACCCAAACTCACTGGACTGCTTAGCCCTAATCCCCTGCAAGCCGGAAATCCTACGGCGTCTGTTTTTAAATACACGGATATTTAAATAGGTTAAACAGGTATATTACACTACCTCCGTGAAACATCGCCCGGGCCCGCCTCGAAATAAAATATCCGGAGGGTTTGGGGTTTAGGATTTTGGGGTTTAGGGTTTAAGGGTTTAGGGTTCAGGTAGAAGCCAAACCTTTCAGCTTTAGGTTCAAGCCAAACCGAGCCAGCCCTCCAGCCTTCCTCAAGCCTTCCTCCAGCCCCAAGCCCAGCCCTCCTCCAGCCTCCAGCCTTCCACCTTCCAGCCTTCCAGCAAGCCTTCCTTTAGCCCAACCCTCCAGCTCCAGCCTTCCAGTTTTCCCAGCCCTCCAGCCTTCCAGCCTTCCCCAGCCCTCCAGCCTTCCAGCCTTCCCCAGCCCTCCAGCCTTCCAGCCCTCCAGCCTTCCCCAGCCCTCCAGCCTTCCAGCCTTCCAGCCCTCCAGAGCCTTCTGGAAGGCTGGAAGGCTGGAGGGCTGGAGGGCTGGGCTGGGCGTGGAGGAGGAAAGGTTTGAAGGCTGCAAGGCTAGGGCGGGCTGGAGGAAGGCTGGAAGGTTGAGGGTGGAAGGCTTCAAGGCATTCCAGCCTTCAACCGCTCCAACCTTCAGCCCCTCCAGCCTTCCAGCCTTCCACCCTTTTCATGGGTTTCGGGTTTAGGGTTTAAGCGTTTCAGGGTTTAGGGTGGAAGTCAAACCTTCCCGCCTTCCTCCAGCCAGCACTCCAGCCTTCAACCCCTCAAGCCCTAAACCCCTTCCAGCTTCAACCCTCCAGCATTCCAGCCTTCACCTTTTTATGAATGAAGGCTAGATCACGTCATACTGGGATTAAAATATGGTGGGGATTTAAACAAATATTTTATACTACCTCTGCGGCCAGTGCGGCTGGCCTGGCCCCCATATATTTAAAAACCGTCACCGTGCAGTCTAATGAGCGTTGGGGTTTCGGTGGTTTTTGTGGTTTTGTGAGATTGTATAGAGGACTCTAAGGTTGATGGTTGGGCCATCATAAACATGACACGTGATACAAGTGAACATGTCAATGATGGCATTCATCGCGGACATGGCAGTAGAGATGCTTTATGCGATAGCTCTGACATGCGGAAGTAAAGGATGCCCCCTCAACCCTACCCATAGGCCCCATAGTAGTTCCTTTTTGGGATTACCTTATAGAGTTCAAAACATGAACCCCGAAAAGGAACTACTATGGGGCCTATGGGTGTGCACCCGGTTCAACACATGTCAGCTTCGCTGGTAGCTGGGGCACGCCTGTGTCTTCGCCTGCACAAGGGTGCAGGGCATGTCGTAGGCTCGTAGGGCAAAGGGATCCCTAAATCCTGAACCCTAACCCCTCGACCCATGAGTACATATATATATATATATACATATATATATATATATATAACGGGCATTTTATAACCCTAAAACCTAAACCCTGTAGCCCAAACCCTCAAACCCTCCCACCCAAGAGCCCCAGAGTTTTGGAGATCAGGACTTTCTTGGGTTTGGCGATCGTCGTGGTGCAGGGTTAGTGTCTTAGCTTACCTTTGGTTAGTAGGGAATGAAGGAATGGGTACTATTATACTATATATTACTATCATTCCTTCATTCCCTACTAACCAAAGGTAAGTTAGAGAAGGGTATACCTGTACAGCTGAATAGTTGTATGCCTTACCGACGAAAGGAACATGTATGTACATATTATATGACGATATACACCACATTTTTTTTTTGCAGGACCCTCATGTATGCAATAGACATCGAACCAACAAGTCAACGGATATTTCTCGTTTGAAGAGGCAAGGCCTTCTAGGGAGTTACGCGGTGGCGCATGTACAGCGAACCCGCACTCAGGATCGTTTAGCGGCTGCGGCATTCGTGATGCTTCACTGTAAACCGCTAGCATGGGGCTGTAGAGATTAGATAAGGGCTTTGCGACCGTTCATGCCTCTTTACTGTAGAGATAATTCGACAGCCCTGGCCTCTTTCTCCTTGTCTTGCTCCCATTTTTCCATGCCGTCTTTGATGCTCTGGATGGCCTTGTCCATTTCCTCTTCCAGGGGAAGCCAAGGGCTTCACCGGTTGAGAGCTTATGGGTTCTTTATCCCTACATCAGCAACACCTCAAAACTTCAACGGTCGGACACAGTACGGCTTAAGGCAGCTTCCATCCAAGTGCAACGGCCACGTGTCTAAGCCCTACATCCTCAGCCTCAACCCAGGGCGCTTGTCTGGAATCCTTGTAGCAGTTCCGTGATCAGATCTCTTTGCTCTACCTCCTCCCGTACACGAATTTTTGGAAACCCTGATCGACTGCAGGTTATTGAGCAACCGGTCAAATTCTTGCGCACATGACCGAGGTTACAGTTTTGAGATGCGCGTTTATGCTCATATTCATGCTCAGACTGTACAATACAGTCAGATCAAAGTCGCACAATGCACAACACATCCCCAACGTCGACTAAGTAGCATCGACTCAGACATGGCAGGACCTCAGCTACGACATTACTACAGCTACATGACGGTTCGTCTACACCCGCCTCCTCACAAGAAGAGTAGCTCATGCCCTGCGAGTAGTATTCAGAGTGCAGAAGGAAACCCCCAAAAGGCCAACCATGGGCGACCCAACCGCTTTTCAGCCAAAGTGCTACAGCCCAACCCTACATTGGGTCAATACCTGAGCCCTCATGTCATTGGTAGAACTAACAGAGCCGTACAACAGTCTAGGTTATGGTAGCTGTCGCGGCCTTTCTGACTCCTGTTCGGGATCTTTGTCAGTCCCAAACCCCTTTAAAACCCACGACCTTGAGCTTCTTCTTCTTCACTTCCATGCTGAGTTGCAGTTGTCCGCATGCAAGATGACGTGCCCAGAAGCTCCGAAAAGCTACTGCAAAGCAGGCCAAACCCTATCGCTAAATATTGAATCCCAAACCGCAAACCCTAAACCTGTTAGGGCTCCTTCTCAGTCCACAGGGTTCGGCGGATATCGAGGTTCAGCAGCTCTTGCTGCCGGCGCTCTTTCACCGTGCTTTCTGGCAAGCGGCTTGCAGGTTGGAGGGTTTGATAAAGTAATGCAAGGCCGTGCCAAGGTGGCTGGTCGTTTTTTGTGGGGGATCTATGGCTTTGCTCGTAGTTCCGGCAACCTAGCAGGGGCAACGTCCCATGTGGTCCTCAGCAACTAGAGCAAGGCTTTAGAGGGTTTGTGGATGAAGGCTTTGTGATTTCTTTGAAGGGGCTGTATATAAAACAGGTTTACTTGAGAAGGTGTACAAGGGTGTGACAAACTAGTATTGCCTGTTCCTGCTCCGCATTACGTCGCAGTAAACGTCTCAACAACACATACAGTTTTCGTGTGCCCTAATCGTACAACAATGCTCTTCACCACTACAACTGCGCCAGAGATGCTGGGATTATAAGGCCCACGAGGTACACTAGCTATTGCCAAGACATCTCTCACTCTGACCAGACGCTACTGGTCAGGACCCTGAACCCCAGGACTGCACATAGACGAAAGTAGGTACTATTTATAGACTTTAGACCCCAAAGTGGGTACTCTTTGTATACTTGGAGTCTTAGGGGAACCCAAGGTATTCAAACTGTAAGCCCTCACATCGGCGCCTGCAAAAGTCTCCTTCATGGCTTCCCCGAGGCCCCCCCTCAGCGGCAATGAAGGTGCCACGTTGGATGTACAAAACAACAGCACAAAACCCTGAACCCATAAATCTAAATCGTATATAACTACTGATCTGCACGGATGGATTCTCGGAGGGATTCCGCACAGCTTTCTTAAGGTGTTGCAGAGCTGAACATGGCATCTGTTTAATGCTTCCGGGGCTAGACTTGGGTTTTCAATGGGGTCCCTGGGGCCCAATACACCTGAACCCCTATACCCTGAACCCCTAAACTTTCCTAAACCCTAAACCCTAAATTTTCCTAAACCCTAGACCCTAAATTTTCCTAAACCCTAAACCCCTAAACCCCCGAACCCTAAACCCCAAGTATTGACTTTCAACCGTCCGTCCGGCCGATCGCATGGCCCCAGAGCCGTACGGGTGGAGGCCAGGGTTCAAGTCTTCCGACCGAAGCACCCCTTATCCCTATAGGGTCCATGTACCCATATAGAGATATATGAGTACATGGACCCTTAGGGTATAGCATCCCTCCTATAGTCTCCATTGTAGTTCCTTTTCGGGGTTACCTTATAGGATCCTTAATTTCTAACTGGTTAAACCAAAAAAGGAGACTACAGGCTTATAGGAACCCTTAAGGATCCTGTATGGATCCCTCTACAGGGACCACCATAACCCCTAAACTCCATATGTGGGGGCCTGCGAGAATGAGATCACAGCGTGTCTTGGTGGGGAGCATGAGAAACCAAGTAATGGCATCAGCAGCTTGTTCCGAAATTCGTTGACACTTAACAAGGAGAGAGATCTCGCTGCGTGTTAGTTGCTCCAACGAAAAGTTCGATTTTTCTGCCAAAGTCAACGCACACTTCAAGACAAAAGTCACTATCAAGCACCTCATAGTGGCCACCATAACATTTACCCAGAGGATCCCAAATACTACCATTTCTGGAGTTCGGTCTCAAAAGACCATCCGTAATATGGCTTTGGGGACCTTAATTCCCAAACAGTAGCATACATGGACCCTCTTGATTAGTTACTCAAGTCCGGATCATGGTCTTCCGTTCCGGGGGTCAGGCATATGATCTCTTTTGAAGGCCTCCAACTTCTCCAGCTGTTTCTGGAAGCGGCCCGGGGTTTGAGGGTTCAGAGTGCTGTTTCTGGAAGCAGCATAGGGTAGAGGTGCCCGAGGTGGAACGGGGATCTCTTTACAAACCTCTGACCTCCACACACCGGATTGAAAATCTACACAACTGAGCCCCAACCGGCTGCAACCCACAAAAAACAAAAGACTTCACCCCCTGAAAGCCCCTTCGATCTAAATCCGAAAGCCGTCGCTATAACCTGGTTGGAGTTTAAAGTAGCGGGGCAATGGAGCAGGGTTGGGGGGGGTGTATATTGCACAGGTAGTACAATGTATGGACTACAGGGATGTTCAACTACCAATTACCCCACGCCCATAAGTTTAGGGATTTTTGGGTTTACGGAAGAGTAGAACGGCTCAACATGTTGGGAAGGAGTCGAACTCATCCCTGGGCTGTCGAACAAGAAACAATGGAGTGCGTCCGAGCCTAAGTCACCAATGCACTCTTCCGAAGAGGATCTCGTAAAACTGGTGGCCGTCCATACAAGACTAGGGCTTTAGGGCTCAGGGGTTGAGGATTTTTGGGTCTAGGGCTTTAGGGTTTTGCGCTTTAAGGTTCAGGGCTTTGTGAGGGAGTAGAAGTGCTGATCTGCTAGTGTAGAAGATGCCACTGACAAAACGGAGTTCAGAACAACAGCCAGGGAGTGAAACTTACAATTTAGGTACGGCCCCCATACAGTAAGAGTCTATAATAGGGCTATTATTAAGGTCCTACTATATCTATATTATGAATATTATTCAACTATTACTGAGTGGGGGCCGTACCCCAGTTACAATTGTCTTCACGAACGTCCACCTCAGAATCACAGTACTGAGGGCAGCAACATCAGTGCTAGCAGCTAGTTGAAAGTACGAAATCAGTCGAAAGCCCAAAAACACTTAACCCATCCCAAAAACAGTATAAAGCCACTAACACACAAAGGCCCATAAACCTGTAGCACGTGAAAGGCCTATAAGGCCCATGAGGCCCACGATCCCTATACAAGCCCTATAAATGGCACTTCTGGCTCCTGTAGGCCGGGTTCATTGTGCTTTCCGTGGATGCAGTGCCGGTCCATTCGCCTGGCAGGACGGAAGAAGAGCTTACCCTACTCCCACACCCCTGAAACTTAAACCGCTAAACCCTAAATCCCGAAAAACTCTCAAACCCTACATTAACCCCTAAAGCATAAACCCTAAACCCCTGAGCCCAAAAGCCCTAGTCTTACAGTTCTATATGGCTTTAGAGCGGTAGTCACTTGAACTCGACCTTGCCTTGGAGCACAGTGTCGGGGCTGAGCCTTGCCGGGAGAACCCCAAAGCCCTAAGACAAGCCGGAGCAGGGCCCCCAATGGCTCTTTAATAGAGCCCCTATGGTCCTTTATAGTGGGTATTGGAGTATATTAGAGGGTTCGGGGGGGTCTAGGGATAAACAGCATTCATAGAATGGTTGAGGGCTTAGGTTTCTGGATCACCTAGCCCTTCTTCATCAAAAGACAGTTTGAACCTCGCCAGGTCTCTACTTTGAGGCATGTGGTCAAGCAAGCTTAGTCAGTATGCAAGTGGCTACGTGGGTCGCAGACTCCGTCGTCCGAGTAGCCTGAAACCCTATAAAGCCCCAAACCCGAAACTCCTTAAGCCTAGCCTAAGGCCCAAAGTAGTTCCTTGTTGGGGTTCATATATAGAATCCCATAAGGTAATCCCAAAAAGGAAGTACTTTGGGGCCTATGGGTTAAGCCCAATCTTATAAACTCTAAACCGTTTACCCCGTACTGAAATCTGATCTCTAAAGAGCCCAGGTTCAGTCTCCGAAGCCTTCAACCTCAAGTAACATGGTGGCCTTGATGATTGGAATGGGGATTTGGGGTAAACTATGCCATGAATATACAGGAACTGAAACTTAAGCGTCTACCCTGAAAACCTATCAACTTCTTTGCTTATTGTCAGTGATTCCGACCCCGATGGTAGGCTTTTAGGGTTTGTGTTGCCGGGCTCAGGGCGTAGGATTGAGGCCCCAACCCCAGACATCTCAAAAATACTCAAATAATTGCGACCAAAACAAATCCGAACGGTTGCGTTAGGGGCATTAGATGTTTTGGCACGGGTTTAGGGTTTATCTGGCTTTGTCTGGGGTCTGGCAAAATGCTATCACCCAAAAAACCTACTTAAAACATGCCGCAGGTGACATGCCGAAGAATTTCGCCAGCATCTCGGCCGTCCGTTCGGGATTTGAAAGCTCGACGGGAACTTCGAGGCTTCAATCTTTGGGGTTGAGGGTGCACGGCTTGGGGCGTAGGATTTGCGGTGCTGTGCCAACTACAATCCTGCACATCCCTTAAAAGGATTGTGTCCACGCAAAAAATAAAACGGCTGTCAAGCTCTACTTGAAAGATGAAGGGGACTTAGTAGGTATGTTGGTTTGACAAGTAACCAAAATTAAAAATTCCAGTTTACTTAACCCTAACTCACAGACTGGTCTCTAAGTCCCGTGATCATTCCCTAAGTCCTAAACTTCGAACCCCAAACCGTGAACGCTTAAACCCCGCCCCCCACCTAGATGCAAAACCCTTTGTCCTCCCCTAAATGGGACTTTCCGAAAATTAAGCCTACCCTATTTTGGTGTCGTTATAATAGGGATCCTACTATTTAGGGTTTGTTTATTAGGGTCCCCATTCTCGGAAACTCGCAAATAAAAGCCGGCACAAATCCTCCCCAAATGCAAAAATGAGGGCCTTGTTATACAGCGGGGCCTTGGGGGTGCATGGTGGTACGAGTATGTTTAGGAAGAGACACACAGATGGATGCAAAGTTTTTAGAGAGATGGACAGGTAGACGGGAACGGACTGCAGGAGGTACTATACCCAGAGGCCCCGTAGTAGTTCCTTTTTGGGATTACCTTATAGGAATCTATATATGAACCCCCAAAAGGGACTACTTTGGGGTTTCTGGGTACTACTGACGAAGCATTCATGCCGCCAAATTGGATCCTGAACTTTGTTGACCCCCCCCCAAACTCGTAAACCCTATAGCCTTAACCCTATATTGGACCCTGATCTTTCTGGAACGCTAAGGGTCCATGCACCCATGTAGCATATACTTTGACCTCGAAGTACCTATCTAGGCAGTACTTGAGGGTCAAAGTGGATGCTATATGAATATATATATATATATATATATATATATATATATATATATGCACCTTTCGAAAAACAGCCCAAATCCCGAAAGCCCTCCAACCTGAACCCTAAACATTAAACCCTGATCCGGGTTCCGCGCTGCACGCCGGTCTAAGTGACGGATCAACCTCACAGACCGGCGCTCCGGATTTTTTAGGGGCTCATGTAGGGTTCCTGAATTGCTATAGCGGTTGTGTGGGTTGTTTTGGGGATCCTTCGGATTCTTTGGGCTTGTATAAGGCTTTGTCTGAAGATATACCGGGGTTGATATCCTGCTACATAGTATTGTATAAGGCTTCCTTATCGTGGCCTCGTTGTATGAGTTATATGGTTCATAACAAATTTCCTGATAAAAGTGTGGCTGCTGGGGGGCTACAGGTATGGTCTAGGACCCACGGTTTGATTCAGGGATCCCTGTTTCGGGTGCCAAGTATTGGGACGCAGGCTTGGGCCCTGTAGCAGGAGCACGGGTGTATAGGTTGTTCGGTCGAGAGCACCTAAACCCGTGATCCTAAGCACCGACTATACTTAGACTGGGCTTTTACAGTGGCCTCGGGTAAGCAATGGCTCCGTCAAGCTCGCCGCCACCAACTAGCTCGCCGCCACCAACTTGTGTGCATGTTGTGCATCACTCCACCAACTTTTCCCAGACGCAACGTAAAGCAGTTCGCCAGCCATCAGGGTCATCCTCCAGCAATGTATGAGGGAGTTTCCAGAAAATTCGGGGTACCTCATTTTTGGGGTCCTCAGAATAAGGATCCTACTATTTAGGGTACTACATTTTTTCGGGTACTATATTAGGGTCCCCTATTTTCGGAAGCTCCCATGAAGTGCAGGACCACCTGCATCTGAACTTTGGCCAGCAATGCTCCAGCCTATCTCGGTCGAAACTCTCAGTCACGCTGCTAAGGCAAGGAATATCTGCAGAATCCTAAACCCTAAACCCTAAATACAACCCCCGCATCATGTAAATACAAAACCGGCGACCTTACAGCTTGCGCAACGCCGCATGTCCGATGCACTCAGTGCTTGGTAGGTGCAGTCCTAATGATGGGCTCGCATATAACTGAATCGGGAAAGTCAATCTAACAAACACAAAACACAAATACACACACACACACACACCACACCCACACACACCCACACACACACACACAGACACACACACACACACACACACGGACCGATGCTCGCATGCCGCAGCCTGGCATCCCGAAATGTAAGGTCTCAACAAAGCAGTAGAGCCCTACTAGCGATCCTACTAACACCAAAACCTGCACGGTACTATAAGGCGGTGCCAGGGCCCCGTCTTTTTCTTGTTCATCTCACTGCTTCCGGCCGTGACGTCCTGCCAGTGGAAGCACTAGGATTTCAGGCCCATGGTTTTAGGCTTGTTTTTGGGGTTTAGGGTTTAGGGTTTAGGGTTTAGGGTTTAGGGTTTAGGGTTTAGGGTTTAGGGTTTAGGGTTTTTAGGCTTGTTTTTGGGTTCGCAGGTTTAGGGCTTCCAGGACTCAGCGTTACAGGTTTGAGGAGGTTGGGTTTGGGCCACCCCAAACTGAGCACTTAGTTACAAACCCCCGAATGAAACCGAACAAATCCTAAAACCTAAATCCTGAAACCTTAAATCATGAAACCTTTAGTCCTGAAACCTTACATCCTGAAACCTTAAATCCTAAACCTTAAATCCTGAAACTGCGAGCCTCTGCTGTGGATGAGGCTAGGGTCCCCGCAGCGTCACCTCGAGCCCTGTAGATCCACATCGTCCCCGGAGATCATGTCGGGTAGTTGTCAAAATTAGGGTCCCTTCTGGGGTCCTTAATATAATACGGCACCTATTATTGAGGTTACCCAAGAAGGGACCCTAATTTTGACAACCACCCATGTAGAGCTGAGGATTACGGTTAACGGCTTAGGGCGCTTTAGGGGCTTAGGCGAAAGATGTAGGTCGAGATTGAGGTTTGGGGTGAACCCTGAACCCTAAACCCTTAAACCCTAATCCCTATCAACCACAAGCTGACGTAGTGCAGTAGAAGGCAGCGGGGCAGATCCAAGGCTTCTTTGGTCTGCATAACACAACTAACTAGGTCACACGCGCGTGAGGCGCCCTGTTACGTTGCAGGGTCTGAATGTGCTTATTTCCTGGGTTTTGGTATGATTTTGGTGTAAATTCAAGTTATTATCAGGAGCCCCCAACTATTCTTTTTTATTGATAAATCAGCTAATTTACACCAGGAAATGCTGTTTTTGGGGTGTGGTTTTCTCTTGTCTTAGACACTCTGAACCCGAAAGACTCGCAACCTGCACGCCAAAGTCGCACCGGAACCTGAAGGACCACAGAAAGCCCTGTACCTAGGGTTGAGGCCTGGGGTGACCCAGCTACAGGTCTGGAGCAGAAATTCGCAAAACATATCTCAGACGCTTGACCGATGCCTTGTCGCTCTGTGAGCAGCTGACATACCAGAAACTTGAAATCTTGGTCTGTAGATGCATACGAGGCCAGAGGTCGTTCTTAACCCCCCCCCCTCCCCCCCCTCCCCCCCTCCCCCCTAATGGAAGGCACGATATATCGTGGCGCCTGGTGCGCGTGTAACCAACTACCTTTGTACATACATACATACATACGTGCCTGCATACCTGGGTACATTACACTCCTTATGCATCTATACACGGACCGAGCGTCTTTGAAGGGTCTTTCGTTCGGGTCATTGATTGGGTCTTCTGGAGGTGGGGGTGCCGATACTTCATGGGCCTAGTCTAGTACCCTACATAGTAGGATCCTCATTATAAGGACCCCCCAAATAGAGTACCCCTAAGTTTCGGAAACTCTAAACCCTAAACCCTTTATGGAACCCCTATAGACCCCTTTAAAGGTACCCTAATTTTCGGAAACTCCTTCATGGCTCGAACCACGTCAGCAGAAGCCGCGAGGTCCTTGACACCTTAAACCCTTATAGATCCTTGAAAAGGAACCCTTATAGTACCTACAGTAGCCCTTCAAGGAATGCAGCATATTAAAAATAAGGAACCCTTACAGGATCCCTTTAAAGGTACCCCTAACTTTCGGAAACTTTTCATGGCTGCACTGAAGCCGGGAGGTCCTTTACGGCCTCCATCATCTCGTCATCCTCGTGGACTTCTTCGTCGGTAGGATGGCGGATCTAAGCAAGAGGTAGCTTGAATTTCGAAGCTTTGGGGTTTAGGGTTTATAGGGCTTATAGGGTCTAGGGTTGGGGTTTAGGGTTTATAGGGCTTATAGGGTTACAGGGTTTAGGGATTCGGGAATTTAACTTCAAATCCTGGCATTGGCATTGTCATAGCGCGCCAGTTGTGAGGATCGCAGGGGGAGGATGGGTTGGTCTACCAGTTCGGCTACAGGTGTCTCTTCCAGGTACGGATATTTTTTCTTCCTGACTCAGTCACTAAGCTTCTTGCAAGTGGAACCCTGGAGACCGCCAACAGACACCCGGCACCCACTGCAGCTCGAAGCTCAGGTACCTACTGTAGGGGCCGTAATAACCAGAATAGGGTTTTGGGGGTTCCTCATTATTAATATGCTATTGTTACAGTACAAAAAAACCCTCAAACCCTATTCCAACGATGAAGGCCCCTATTATGTGGCTTTAATACGGCTACCGTATCCCAATACATCACGGAAAAGTGGCCAATTGTGCAGATGACTTCGGCCGAATCGCACAGAGCTCAAACCCACAAGGCCTGAGTAACTTCCCTTAAGGGTCCATGTACCTAAATAGTATACACATTGGCCTTAAAGTATTCCCTATATGGGTACATTGGGCCCAAAGTATTTATTATCCGGGTGCATGGACCCATAGGGTTCCCCATGGCTTAGGGTTTAAGGCTTAGGGTTCAGGGAATCTTGCACAAACCAATAAACCTGTCGGTGTTGCGACTCGCAATTCCGCTACAGGTCAACTCACTTCATATCCAAGGGGCGCTGATGTCCACAAAGCCCTTGGCCATCATCACGTTTTCCTGTGATAGTATTGCAATGTGTTTTGACTTCGGGTGTAGA